CTTAAAACAAGATTGTGATGGAGTGGTAAGTACTTATTCATCCTTAATCATAAGAAGAATGTTATACTAGAATCGCAAGGTGAAGTGCTTTATATTACAAATCATAATTTGAGTGTGTAAATGAAATGCATGTAATAAGCAAACTTAAGGATGATGAATATATTAAGGGGTCAATTGGACATGATTTGAAATCATATTAATTTGAAATTGAAGATATTATTTGGACACGCAATTCGAATTTTTAAGTTTTTTTTTCATTAACATGAAAAGTGAATCCCAAAAGTTATGAAAGCTATCAAAAATTCTCCAATTCTTATAGAGTCTTACCAAAAGATCACAAATCATAGTTTATAATAAAATATTATGTCTTAAGGCTCTGCATTAATAAATCGCATATCTCCTTGTTCTTTTTATAAATAAGTCTTTGTGATTACAAACTTTAAAAAACATATAATTTTATAGAGATTCCCGAGACATTCTTCAACATAATTCTTTTATATCGAGATAGAACCATATGTGAACGAATTCAAAATAATGAGTTTTCGATACAAATATCAAATATAAAAGAGGGAACGAAAACTAAACAAAAAGCTACAAATTCAAAAGTTTGTTTTTTTTTTTTTAAAAAAAAAAAGGCAACATAACTGCAACAATTCAACTTAATTTCCATATCTATTCAATTTATGTGATTTCTGATGAGTACTGAATAAATTAAGAGTTGAAATTTTGGCCAAACGTCATGCATTGACAATCAATTTTCTCATACCAGCATAAATTTTATTTTAAAAAATTTAAAAATACGTAAAATTAAATAATTTAACTTTGATGCTTTGAATCGTGTCATCCAAAATGAGACATAAGAAGTACCTTTTTTCCTAAATAAATTTATGTTCAAACATAATTGCTCAACGTTCGAATATCTTTTTGTACCTTCAACTTCAAATAATTTAACCAACTTATATCGAAACTCATAAAAAAAAATTTTGTCCAAACATAACAGCAAAAGTTCCACTTAATTGTCATATCTTTTTCTGCACCGTTAATTATTAAACAAAGGTCTTCAAATTCAATATGCCAATTTAAATTTATTCAAACATCAAATAAAAAAAATTAGTCCTTAATATAAAGTCTCTATGGGCAGGCCTTGGTTACAAAAATATGACATGGTATTGTAGGATTTATTTCTTTTTTCCTTGCAAATTATCCAATATTCATTGTTAATTTTATTTTTATTTTCTTTTGTTGGTCATCTAGAGATATTGAATTAAAAAAAATTATAAAGAGCAGTTCTAACTTCCATTTTGGAAGTTAATTACTTGGCATGTACTTCTTGGAAGTAATAACGTTGACCTTTTTCTTATTAAGGGATTTGATCACCTTATTATTTGACTAATTAAAGCATTAATTCAAACAATAATATTTTAAAAAAATATATATTGTAGGAAACTAGGTAGCCGTTTGGACGTAAAATATTATATTTTAAAAAATAATATTTAAAGTAAATAATTTTAAAAAAATATATATTTTATTTTATTTTTAAAAAATGTAATTTTGTAAATGAAAAAGATTTTTCGCATGAAAAAATGGCTCAAACTCACTTTTACATATTTGGAACTTTCTTTTTTTTTGGAACTTATGTTTTGAAAAATAATAATTAAAAATAAATAAAAATTGATCGGCACATTCACCACGCTACTAGAAATAAAGATTTTTTCCACCACAAATCAAAATAGAAAATTGTGTTATAAAATACAATTTCCACCCACTTTTCATAGAACCAACTCAATAGGAATATACATGTCGGAAACAGATTTATATAGAAATGTCAAAAAGCTTCCTAATTATTATTATTATTATTATTATTATTTATTATTATTATTATTATTATTATTATTATTATTATTATTATTATTATTATTATCACTGATTCCGTTTAAATATATGTAGAAATAGCCTTATATAAATATGCAGTTTATATATATACACAATATATCTAAATACAAAAAAGATGGAGCATATGTATTGTACATTGGAAAACACCATACTCTTATCTTATTTGTCACAACTGAAAAAACAGTATAATAACAATATATTTATAATATGACAAGAATTGATTTAAAAATTGATTATGGGATTAATCAAATTGCTTATTGATATTTTAAATTAAGGATATGCATTATCCAATAGTTTTTAATTTTAAAGTATAAGAGGGTTGAGACAAGAATAGGGGTTTATGTTAAGTTGATGTTTTTGGTAAATGTCTGGCCTATAATTGTGCTTTTCTAATATTTTAAAATTTAATTATAGGGATTTGGGGGCCATTAATATTTAATGACATTCTTTTATACAAACAAATTAGGTGTGTTGAAATAAAACAAGTCTTAAATCATGACATAAGCACTATCACGATTTTAAGTTGACCTTAAAGTTGGACTTTTTTTTTAATAAGATTCTCATATTAATACATGGTGATAAATAATATATATTATAAATGAGTTCTAAAATAATACCATCTTTGTCTAATTTAGTTGTGAAATTAACAATCTTATCATAATTTAGGAGTAATTTTATGTCCCATCCTTGAAATAAATTCTATCAATTGAAAAATAATTATAATCGTGAAGTTTTAATTAAAACTCCAAAATAATATTATTTATTTTTTAATTACGTATTT